TCTCGGGGTTTCACCCCGATCTCTTTCATTGAGTTAATTAATAATACATAGGTACAAAGTCGGATAATAATTTATATTCCGTAGTTTCGTAGTTTAATATCATTATGATTGTGTGTAGTGTGTGTGTGTGTGTGTGTGTGTGTGTGTGTGTGTGTGTGTGTGATGCGCGTATCTGATTCTAGAATTGCATGCCTATGTACAAATAGGCATGGCAAGAATAGAAATCGACGTGTGCACTCTTCGCGCTGTTTCTCATGACAGATCGACGATCCTAATCGAATAGCATACGAATTGTATTAGTGTTATTACCATAGACAACATCCGCGACGAATGAATTTACGTTACTTTCGTTATTCTCGTAAATTTCACGGCACGCAATTTTTCTTGATCCGAAGAACGACTGCTTCGACCACTTTGACACTATTCTACTATTTGCAATGCGCATAATCGTGTAACAATTGCGTATTTCTCAATTTCTCAAATCGCCCGGCTACTTACGCGAGTGCAGTCTTCACAAGTTTTCGTGATACAAATTCTACGATTTCTCTCGGCTCTAAATGTAATATAACAGATTTCAGTGTCAATCAGTTTTTAAACTTGTCGAAAACGCAAGAAACAGTTCACGAAGAGACGAGTGCCGAATTAATTTCGCGAAGAATCTTACAGCCGTTCGTAAACGACGCGTTACAAACCGAAGAGTTACTTCTCTAGTGTAGTCTTGTATATTTTATCAGTTAACTATTACATAATTTTATACTTGTGTATATGTTGTCCCACGATCTTGATGAGTTCGTGCACTTGCAAAATATGTACTTAGAAATCAGCTTATAGTAATATCTTTTTTTTTCACAGTACTTTACATATACATCTCTTTGTCTTCAGATAGAACTCTACTTTTTTGTCTTTGTTTTCTCACGAGTAAAAAAGCTTCTTTCTCTTTGCCTCTAATTTAAGCATGTTACAGATATGATAAGATACCACGCTTTTATACAATTCCCACGTTCCCTAAAGCTCGATCGGTTTCCCGATTACGAGAAAGTTACGTTATCTACGATTTATCGTGAACAATCGGATTATCAGTGACATCTACATAGCTCATCTGTAAATTAACAATACTCGTTATCTCATTCGTCAAACTCTAAGCTAAGTCTTACGTCATTAACGACGGACTGCATGTATTTCGATGACAATTCGATATAATCTCAGCACGCATATCAAACTCCGCGCTTACATTATTCGGTCTTACCTCAAAAAATCGCGTTGCAAATCGCATAGAAATATTTGAGACAGCAGAGAGCGGAAATGCGAGTGTGAATGAGACAATCGTTTCAAATTGCAAAGTAAAATATTACACTTGATCACAATCATAATAAAAATTGTGATAAGAAAACATTAGTGACGTACAGAATCTTGTGATTTTAATGATTTAAGTAACGTGACGCGAATTATAGACATTTTCTAGCACATTCGAATTTGTATCTCTAGTAAATTTTTAGAATAAATCGAAGATTTACAAAAATATACGTAATATAGTCGTATATATTGAAGCTTGCATTCCATTTGTCAATTTTATCAGTAATATCCAAGGAGTACCTTTCAACTATACAGTGATTCGTAAATGTAAAACATGTCACACAAAAAGCTTACTTCGTAAATGATTAATAAGATTCACAAAGGGAAAATTCGCGCTGATTTTTCCAATTTTAGTATTCGCTTAATTTAGTATTCGCTTAATGTGTCGATTTGCAAAGGTGCATTTAAATTACATAAATATTAACGCAAATCGCAATAATGTCTAAAAAATATTGAAAACTCGTTTCCTTTTAGATTTTCCCTCATTCTTCCAAATTTCATGTATTATAATTAAATTGAAACGTTTACCTTTTACACGGAGTTTACACGCCAAATTTTATAAACTTCAATATACAATATTTTTTGTCTTACTTTCTCTCTTACTTTCACTCCCTCTTTTCTCTCTTTCTTTCAATCTCTCTCTCTCTCTCTCTCTCTCTCTCTCACACAGGGCATAAATGTAATTATATACTAAGTCACAGCAGACGTGCATGTGCATGCTCGCTGAATGTTATCTTCGCGAGTGTTCGAGGTTACGCACGAAGAAAGATCGAACACATAGCACGATAATTAAGATATAAAATTAATGGCAAGCATTTTTATACGCGCTTCTTACAGAGATTTACAAAGCCTCTTAAATATTTAGTGGCATTTCACTGTTTTTTTTGTACAAAAATCAGTACGAAAGAGAATTTTTGCCGCGACGCGTCCCGTTTACGCGAGTTATATGGGCGGTTTGTTTTGTCAATTTGTTTCAGAAACTGGTTTTTATACGTGAATAAAATATTCAAATAAAGCTTACAAACGAAACTAATTCGTAACTGTTCAAGAGATACAGTTCTTCATTCTAGCTTCGAAATTGCTAATTCAACGAAAAGATTCAAACTAGGAGCAGATCGATTTGTCAGTCTGCTTCTTACTTGAGAAATGTGATACACATACCTGCTCCACATTTTCTACGTCATAAGAATTGTCTCATTCTTTTGGACATAGATCATATTAAACGATGCTTAAAAAGCCGAGTAACACGTACTAATATGATAACCAACGAATGTCAGTATTCAGGGAACAAATTGTGTAATTAAATATACCAGTATACATTCTAATTATTCCGACTCTAACTTAAAAAATGTTAAATTATATAAAGTTTATCTAATTAACGAAAAATGCCGAAACTATAACGACGATCATCGTAGAAATTGTAAATCAATAAGAATATAAAATAAACGTCATTACCCATTCAAACCTGCGCGCACATTTCGCAAATTTTCATATCATCATGTTATTATAATATTTACATTAAATAATATACGTTCTGAGGGTGACATTTTCGACTAAAAATTTGACAACGATAAATGTCTTTTCGCCGATCGTTTCGGAAATCGGCATTTAGTACTTGAACTGTCCTAAATTATATACAAAGTTTGGAAATGTCTTCTTCATTTTGGATACCTCAACATTTTAATTCTCTCTCGCGATTAAATGAAGTCCTTGGACCGTTTGTGTTACTTCATATTTCTCACTATGTTTATGAATTTCTCTTAAACTCACTTAACCACATTTAGATTCACTAAAAACGAGTGTCATTGATCGCTTCACATCTTATTTATCTAGTACACCACATTTGAGTTCACATCTATCCCAAACTTGCTCGATTTAGTTTGTTTTCACTGCAAATAAAATAAACAAACGTATTATAAATCATGAACATATATAACATCTTTTATGAAATATTGAATGATAAAGATTCTCTTTACGTAGATGATGTGAGATTTATGCATATACTATCATTATATTTATAATTAATCCGCAAGATCAGAGAATTTTACCATTCAATATGTCATATATTTTGATTGCATTTTGAAAACATTTCAAGAGAATACAAGAGGATACATAGGACTCCGAATACGGCACAAACTTACCTTCATTTACTTTTCGCATAATTTTTATATCGTTTTATATTGTTACAAATTTAAACATATATGTATTAAAAACTGTCACGATTTACTATATTTACAAGGAAGTCTGAACGAGTTATGAAGAGAGAATATTGTGCAAAGGTCGAAATTAATAATGTGATATATATATATATATACCAAGCAATATCTATAAAAATCGTTCTTACACAAATACAAGGAAAGATATTAAACTTACAAAGTGCAAATAACAAATTCAAGGATTAATGGAAATCGAACTTTCTTTTGGTTCACGTTGAGTCAAATTTCACATAGGCGGATGCATATCCCTTCTACAAATTCGGAAAGGTAAAATCGATGCACACAGCACGGGCAACGAAGTTTCGACCGCACACGCGATAACGTAATCTCGTGTCGTTTCTGTTAACGACTCTACATCGTTACTTCGAAGCCGCGTGAAAGTATTTCCATATAGGACAGGCATTTTCAAAGAAGAAGAGGAGATTTCTATACAGAACGGTGGAAATGAAAAGATATTGGCAACAACAAATGTGTATCAAGATTTCACATGGGTACTTGAGAAAATCAATAGAAACTTTAAATGTTTCCGGTGGTACGAGCGATATCGCCGTACTTGATCGTCAAATATTACTATACAATAGATATTGCAATCGTACCGGCGCATTTTTATTATCGCCTTTTATGTACCCACGTTAAATCGTTGTCCAACTATCTACGAACGATGCCTTGATCTCAGTGCGTACCTAAAACTATCTGGCGCTCCGGGAACATGGCTGCTACGTCTACATCTAGTCTACATACAGACTAGTGGCTCATCTGATATGTCGTACATGATATGTGATGTACTAGTGGTGTTTCTAGAAAGACATATCCTTTCATACGTTCTCTCACTCTTTCCCGCGTTCTCGCATCGCCTTTGCATTGCTTATA